GGCGTCAAGGTCAAGCTGTGATACGATGGTCTTCGTCTCTGATAGCAATAGGCCATCGTCGTTCACAGCTTGCGTGCAGGCTGCTTGTGCTATTGTTTCAGTTTTCAGGCTTGCAGTCACAGGCATTCAAGTCGATCCTTGCCGCGCCATGATGGATGGTGCGGCGGCGCCACGCCAAGATCGGTGGCGCGGCAGACCCTGCCACGTCACCGCTCAGCGTCCCGATCGTCGCCACGTCAACCCTCTCGCCGCGCCACCGTGCATAGCGCGGCATAGGCATTTGACAGCGCCATGGCAATAGGCGCGGCCAAAAGTGTTAGATTTGGAAATAAAAAACAAACAGTATTAGATTTAGAATTAGTTTAAAAAAGTGTTAAACTTAAAAAAAACCTTAGGGGTTGCCCTTAAGCTTTCTAGATGGGATACGCCTTAACCATAGGTGTTTGGTTACGGGGATAGGATCATCTTTGTTTGTTTTTTTTGTTGGGTTGGAAGGGGATTACGAGGAACCGGATGATGCGGTTTTGACACCATTAGCCGGTGTCATCGGTGGATCCCATCTGACCTCACCTGTCATTCTCTCCATATTTTCTTATTTTCACAACTTCTTCGCGTGCAATGTGTGGAGAAAAACTGTCACCCTATTCACCCTATTTGCTGATGTTGAAATTTGGCTTATGTTGATGCTTATGCTGAAATATTGTGAGAGAAAAACATTGTTCCATGACTGAAAAATAATTCTAAATAAGCTCAAGCGAATAGGGCCATGTGTGTGTTGTCGAGAGAGAAGCCATATGCGACCAGAGAGATGGAAGCAGAGGTCCGTTGCTGCTGGTCCTCGCCTCCTCTTGTCAAACTTCACCGCGATCTCGCGCCGCCGCGAGGGGGAATCCACCTTGCCACAGCACCTTTGCGAGCTCGAGTTCCCACGAGGGGATGAGCTGCCGCGCCTCCACAAACACGCTTGCGCGAAGGAGAAGACGTGATGGCCGAACGACATCGTCAATTGGGGATGGCCCCGTCCGCTCATTTTTGAGGGGGGGGGGACAGGAGCGTAACACATCTGGACAGTATATTCCGCTCGGGGGCCGACCCATTTCTCGACGTCCTCTAACCAAACACCGGTAAAAACAGGATTGACCCATCTTATACTCGTTTGTTCCGTAATCCAAACGCACGTTACGATGCAAGTCTTATACTCGACCCTAGTAGAAAAAGCATGAGGACCGGTCTTAGCCCAAAGACCCGACCTCAAGGAGGAAAATACAATTTTTCCTAGATTCTCTTCTCTCTCCCACAATCACAGAACTGCCCCATCAACTCCACACACTTGTCCTCCTCTGCGGGCGGTAGATTTTTTTATTTCTTGTGTAGGACCCACTCTTAACACCTAGGTAGTCTTTATACATAAAGGCAGCTATAATAGTAAGAGCTAGTTACTAGCTTTAAGATAACTTCTTCAATAGTGCTAACTTTTAACACATAGCTTATAACATGGTAGCCCCACATGATACTCTCACATAATCTTGAAATGTGTGCGCTCTTATCAAGAGCTAGCTTTTCTCTCTCTTTTATTAAAATATAAAAAATACTTAAAGTTAGCTCAAAAGTCATTTGTTGGAGCTGCCTTAAAAGGATGAGGCCTTATGTTAGGTGGACCCTCCGGAAGGCCTTTGAATGTCTTAAACGCTACGGATACCCAATGAGAAACAAATATGTAGCTGACCTTGGCTTCTAAGGTGGACTCTGCAAAGTGACTCGTGGGATGAGTTGGCATCCAATAAATCAATGCATGACCTATGCAGAACAACAAATTGTTAGAAGCCGACTCCCAAACATGAGTCGAGGCATCAAATTAAAAATATGAGTTGATGCATCAAATTAAAATAATATATCATCACAGTGAATACGACTGCCAACCACCGTAGGATGGCCTAGGTTAAGAATGAACAGATTTTCTATCGTGAATGGCCCACACGAAGAAAAAATGTGTGGTGAAAACCATATATTAGGTTAGGTAAAAACATGCAAACTAATTTAAAAATATATGGTGGAAACCACATGCTCGGTGGAAACATGGAAACTAGTTAAAAAATGCACTTTCGTAACTTCAAAAAATTTGAAACTTAGTACATGCACAATCATCCATACGTGAACTCATACAAAAAGTTGAGATGCAAAGTCTTTTATGAAAATTTCATTTGAAAATAACAAAATTTATTTTGTATGTGATTTCCACTGCATATTTTTTTCGTGCACTACCGCTGTCCAATGTGTTCCTCGAAGGTACTCCCTTCGTCCCACAAAAAATAGAACGTTAAAGTTTGCAAGTTTAACCAAATTTAATAATATTTATCATGCTAAATAGATACCATTAGATTCATGATCAAACATATTTTTATAATATATTTATTTGATGTTATAAATGTTAATATTTTATCTATATATTTGGTCAAACTTTGAGCACTTCAATCGAAAATGTACTTAAATTACTTTTTTTCTTACACTGACTTTCTAAAAAGCTGCTAGAATATATGATGGCCTGGAGTTTGCGCCCTCACGGGAAGCGGTAGCCATATATATGGATTGAGTTTATTCAGATAAGCCATCAGCTAGTTTTCCTCCATGTTTTTAAAGAAAGTTGTTTTGAGGTTGTTTAAGTTAAACATTTTAAACTTTGACTACAAATATATTCTTTTGGGTTGAGTTTGAAAATATGAAAGTGGCGTAAGTATTCATCTCCAAATGTAGTTTTATAAAAGTATATATTGACTATATTTTATAAATATTTTATAGCAAAAAGTAGTGATCAAAGTTGTTTTTAGAGACCGTGTCAATGTCCAAAACGACTTCTTTAGGGAAATGGAGGGAGTGTTTTAACCAGAAATTTTGACAGCACGTACTCCGTACCTTTGTTTCTAGCAACATGGCAGATTGGTATCCGATTCGGCTGCATTTGTTGTTGCCTCTAGATGGCGCAGTCGCTGAGGCATAACATTGATTGTTGTTATGTGTTCTTCACATCTCAGTACTTTTGTGTTCACCCATAACCTGAATGAACTGAGGTTTTCTTCTTTGCATAGGAAATTAACCACTAGACATGGTTTTAAGGGCATGTTGATGTTGTATTACCTTCATAGGTTGGGATGGGAATCAGGCTGCATTTAATACTACCTACAAATGATGCATACTCTAAGCCTATGTTCTTGTGACAGTGACTGATGGGAGATGTTGCATATTAGATTTTCGGGTCTAGCTAGCATACTTTCAAGTTTACTGAACTATATATGTGTCTACACTTTTGTTATACTGAACTATGAGCTATGACATTGTACTCTTTTGAGGTGTTATTAATGATTGAATATTGAAATTGCCTGCTGATGCTAGCCCGTAAACACTTGGTAAAGTTCCTTGGTGTTGTGTCGTTGACCAGATCCTAGGCACTCTACATGAGCTTTTACGGTCCTACCTGTAGATTAATTGAAATTATTTGTATTATAACTCATATAGAAGTGTATCATAGCTATCTTCCAATCCTTTCCTACCCTGAAGCATAAACTGCTCTTAGTGCAAACTCACTGAACTCTCAAGTGTGCCTCATATTTTCTGAAGCTTTTGGATTTACCTTTTGTTAGCAGTCTGTTATTGTTGTCTATTTCAATTTGATATCTATTTTTACTGCTGCTCATTGAATTTTTATTAGCTTATAGTCCTTCCTAAAATCTTGCCTATATAATTGAATTTAAATACTCTACATGTATATATCTTACTCCCTCCGTCCACAAATACAAGAACTTCTAGGATTCAAAATTTGTCCACAAATATAAGGACTTGTGGTGTAATCCACCTGAATAGGCATGATTATAACTCTGTCATATATAGGCACGACTATAGTTTTAGAATTATGGCATGTTAGAACATATTAATGCAAATCAAACATACAGTTTTAGATTTATAGCATGTCAGTTTTAATGAAATCTTTGTGAGTAAATAAATGTGAAGCTACTGCTGCTGTTCTGCTACCTTAGGATACAAAAATTAAATGTTAACGCTGCTGCTACTGTGCTGCTGCTGTATGTAATTTACTTTTCTGTTATTTACTGTGCTGCTGCTATATGTAATTTACTTTTTTGTTATTTACTGTGCTGCTGCTGCTGCTATTGTGTTGCTACTGTTGTGCTGGGCTGCTGCTACAAATAACTCCACATGCTTTCAGTTATTTACTTTTCTGTTTGTATGTAATTTCAGAAGCAAACCAAATTTAAGGATGCGCCACCAACTATGATTGATATTTTTAAGGACACCCACTGCAGTAGCAAGTCAGGTTTTAATTAGCAAGCGAAGGATGCCATCGTGAGTACCTTTCCCTATTTCTTACTATGATGAACAACACAACAGTTCAGTACATGAGAATGAAACTTGGCCTTGATGAGCACATCAGAATGTAGTTGGCCTAGACACATTGTAAGCCTGGATAGATAGAGAGTCATAAGTCTCTGCCTTGATGAGTACATGAGAATGAAACTGAAGTGGTGCTTCCATATTGTATAATTTCTTAATGTCATGGTCATGTATAATTTCTTACTCTACAATTTCTTAATGTCATGGTCATGCTTCTATTTGTCAAATTTTGTGTGGCGTCCATGGATGAATATGTGGTAAACTTCTTGACATCCACTAGATTGCCACATTCAGCTTAGCATGTTCAGAGAAATATACCAAAAGAAAAATGGCTACACAGATCTTTATACCAAGCTGACGGAGAGAAGCCGGAGGGAGAGGAACAGATGCTCACAGTCACACGTAGCTGTCCTGTGAGGTTGCAATGCCGAGCTGACGGAGACTGGAACTGATGGAGCAGCAGTAGGAGCTGTGAATCCAAGGCACTAATCAGCTGAGAAGAGGGATGGAGGACTAGAGGAGGCACAAATTGGCGGAGAAAAGCAAGGTTTTTTTTATAACAAGAAAAGCAAGGGTTGAATCAACAGAGGGGTTAGTTGATGGAGAAAAAGAGGCGGAACGGCTGGATTCCACCAGCGGCGGCGTGCCGAGAAGAAACAGTTGCACGCCCTCTTCCGTTTCCCCGCTTCGTTAATTGGCACACACTGGAGAGATGGCTCAGGGCCTTGCGGGAGCTGTGGGCCTGTGATTTCCCACCGGCGCAACTCCCATCAGTCTCCTTTGCGCGCAAATCTCCCATGCATCATCGTGAGGTAATTTTTTCGCGCGCACAACTCCCACGTCCGCGCTCATGCCCAATCTCCCTTTGATTCACTTCTTTCACGCGTGCAACTACTGTCGCTGCGCTCATGCCCAATCCCCCTCCGATTTGCTCGTGCGGCACCTGCCTCAGGCCGCTCGAGGCATAAACTTTGCCAAATCGTGCCTAGGCGATGACGATTGGTCGTGGAGAGTCTGACATCCAGAGTGGAAGCCATATCACTGGAGAATGGAGAACCAGACCTGCCTGGAAAAAGCACGACCTAACAAGATATGTTGAATGTTCTCATCTTCCTGGTCGCATAAAGGGCTGCGACTTGGATGCGGCAGCCCTCTGTGCAAGCCTGCAAGCCGTCCAACATCTATTGTGTGGAAAGACATTTTTATTGCAATTAGGCAATTATTTCTGCCTCACTGGTCTGCATCTTATATACTTCTAAATAAGCTTAAGCTCAATTTTTTTCTCAGTTAACGTCTACATGAATACTTATCAAAATTGTTAAGATGCTATCAAAATTGTTAAGATGCTCGTTTCTGATGCTTGGTCCATCCTTTGAGTTGATCTTCAATGCATATTGCAGCCAGTGTCATCTAAGGTTATTACTTCTGTGCAATCCAGCTGATATTTTTGGATTGTATTCCCTATACGCAGGATATGTTTAGAATAATCCCAGGTGATACAGATTATAGGATATTTGCTGAAGACATTACGAACATTCCAGGACTTGATATTATTTTTGTTCTCGGTGGTTATTTCTATCATACTTCATATGATACGTTGGAGAATCTACTGTATGTATTAAACTAGAGAACATTTTCTAATATTTTATATGAAGTAATATAATTGAAGAATTATCATTTCTGTACTAGCCCTGGAAGTATTCAAGCTCGTGGTGAAAATTTATTCAACCTTGTGAAGGCATTCACAAATTCTATGTTGTTAAAAGAGAATGAGATATCTAATAAAGCTGCTAAGGATGGAATTGAAGATTTGCGGGCAGTCTTTTTTGATTATTTGACTTGGTTCATGGTAAGTTACTCTGTATTCTTGCAAATTTGCAGGATAACACTAATTGGATATGAGCATTGGTTCTGAACAATGTATACTTTTCTCACTTTTCATATGCATTTGTCATTGCTTGTGAATTGTGATTAATTTTAATATTCTTCATTCCTACACACAGGTGTTTTATTCTCGTGATATCTCTCTGATTCTTCACAGTCTACCGGTAGCCATTTTTCTTCTTGTACCGCTGTTCCTGAAGTTCCCAAACATTACCTTGATGTCATGGTTTGTAACTCTTCTAGGTTTCATGAGAGGTAAAGTGATGAAATGTGGAATGTACATTGAAAATGATATCATATTGGTGGTTCTAAATTTTTTGTATGAAGGAAGAATTTTTATAAGGAATTAGAAGGGAGTATAGGATAAGTTTGGTTGGACACAAAATGGTTCATGCATAATTACTTGCAATGTATTGCCGTTACTTTTAAATTTTACATGTAATAAAACAATACTGTTTGACGTATATATATCTGAACTACAAGAAACTTAAGTGACAAGAGAAATGTTAAACAATTTTTTTTAGAATAATTTTGTGAAGTTTAATTTAACTAATTTTATTTATAGTTTTGTCTAGTCCCTAACCAAAACGGGCTTAGCAACATAACAATGAGGTTTTTAGAACATATAAATGGTGAATTTGGCTTTTGGTTAGACATTTGAATGTTGCTTCGATAAAATCATAACTTTTTGATAGTGGCATTAGTGCTTGATTGTGCTTTTGCAATTTCGTGAAGTTTATGAAGCTAATCTTGCGATGTCTTTTGAGTTCTTGATTGTGCTTTACTGTTTTTGCAATTTTGTGAAGTTTATGAGAACTGCTTATCTGAGGAAAAGGATTTATGGACATTGCAGTCCCCATATTTTGGCAACGTTAATCTGATTAGAAGATTCTAGCATTAGTGCTAATCAATCATGTATTACAATATATTCTGCTGGCCAACTATAATGCTTCTCACATATGGTGTTGCAGGAATGTTACTCCATGCGTTTGGTGTCATCCTTGCAATATTTATTCCTGCTGTGGCTGCAGCATTAAGATTGTTATTCACGAAGAATGCAATGAATTGGTAATTATTTATTTTCCTATAAGTTTTAGTGTCGCTGTTTCAGTGCTCTTCTAGGAAATTGAAAGCAAATCAAAGTGTCTGAGTCCACCCTCTACCCAGTTGTGACAGTATTGCTTCTAGATTTGTGTATCCAGCCCCTCATATGTCATATCTATTCATCTTTTGGACATTCTCATTCCCCTCTTTAACATGTTATCCGTTGCGCCCAACAAGACATGCATTTAGATCTACAAGTCTAAATAGTATGAGTTTGCACTTTGCAGTGATCGTTCACACTGATCATATCGCACTATCTTGTCTTTGCAATGTTATTTCACTTGCTTGCAAGAGTATGCAATGAATCTATGTATGAACTAGTCATGAACAGTTGTTGCAGTAATGTTTCATATCTCCTTTTTGAATCCTGAGCCACTTGTGTAGTTCAGAGAATGAGCTCAGTTGTCACATGATTTTGTTCTTATTTTTACACATGTCACCTATGTGTCATCTCTTTCTTTATGTATCTGAAAACCTATGAAATGAACAGTTTCTGTATTTTGTAATTTTACTTAAAACTATTACCAATCAAAATTTATCTTATTGCATGTTTATTGCATGGGTGCAGGTTTGCTCACCCTTATTTGGTGTTCCTTATGTTTGTCCCTACTTCATTGATTGGTCTATTGCTGCCGAGGGTTACATGGGTATTTTCCTTATCACTACTTTGTGGTACCCTTTCTGTTGTTTTTTTTTGGGTATGTCTGTGCCTGTGTCTATATCTGGTCACTTCTCTTGTTGAAAAAAGAGTACAATGAAAAGTATATGATGATGTTTCTTTGTATTAGCAGTTGATGTTACAAATAGTAATTTACTTACATGATCATCTATTTCTGAATTAGATTATTTTGCGCCCAGAGAAATAAGGAAAGGATTTACTGATTGGATGCTTTTGCTTTTGACCAGTCTGCCCTCACCACATACTATACTGTTCCATTCATTTTCTTTTATAGGACCATTTTGGTCAAGAAACCAATGAAATGGTAAGGAGAATCAACCATAGTACTTCGTTAATGAGAATGAATGATTATTATGGGTGATTACGGTAGACACACAAATATTGAAGAGATGTAAAATAAAGTGAGTGCATAAGGAAGAAAAGGCTATTTTTTTATTGCAATGGCAGGAGCTTTGCTTTTCAATTAAGAGGAAATAGAATTGATCCAGTTTATGAAGGAATTACAGTCGCACAGTTTATTCATGGCAAACTGGTGAAAAAGCTAAACACGACAACCCGGACGACTAACCCTAAGTAACCCACTAACACACAAAGGTAACACACACTGACGGGGCACACCACACGACATCGTTGCCGAGCTTATCATAACTTCACAACAGCAATAAGCAGCTCCGACTTCCCACGACGAACATCAGCCAAAGCTCATAACACGTTGCCACCTACTCACAACCAGCCCCAACCTCCAAGGAAATGTAAGACATAATCTACTGTTGATCTCTCTCTCTCTCTTGTTACAGCAGAGTTGGCATTTGGTTAGCTCAGCTGTCCAGTCTCTATTGCTGTAGCAGTATGGCAATAGGCCACCTCTAGTACATTAGTTGGTAGCTATTACATCAGCCATGTCTTGGTAGTGGGCTGATCTAAGCTTTGTACTACTAGTACTAGGAGTAGTTGGGGCTATACTCAGCCATACTCATGTGTACCTTATAGTTGGTACATGAGTTGTATATATATCACACCTAAGGCAATGCAAAAGGGTAGTTCAGTTTGCCACATTCAGAAGCAGAGCATCGGCCAGGGCTGGGCTTGTGCTGTGTGTGTGTTCTTAAGCTCAATCTCTTCGCCTACCCCTAGCCATAGTGAGTGAGTGTGCTGGTAAGCTTACTGCTTTCCTATGCAGGGCAACCAGGGACCAACAAGTGGTATCAGAATTGTACAGCTACGTCACCCGACTAACCGCCGGCGATGGCGGGTGATCATGGCTCAGAAACGGGCGACAGCAGCGGTGCTGCTAGGGCTACCCAGCCACGACAGGAGGTCGTTGTGCGCACGGTGCGGGAGGTCAGCGGCACCAGTTGGCCGACGCTGATTCGCACCAACTATGGTGAGTGGGCGGTGACCATGAAGGTCAAGCTCAGAGCCCGACGGCTCTGGAATGCCGTTGACAAGGGCACCGACAACGAAGAAGACGACATGTCAGTGATGGAGGCTATCCTCGCTGCTGTGCCGGTGGAGTACAGGGAGCCGTTGGGGGCAAAGAAGACTGCTAAGGAGGCATGGGAGGCCATTGCAGCGATGCGCGTCGGTTCCGACCACGCAAAGGCGGCGATGGCCCAGCTGCTGAAGCAGGAGTACGCCAACCTCAAGTTTCGCGATGGAGAATCGGTGGAGGATTTCTCCCTCCGCCTGCAGTCGCTCATCAACAAGCTGGGGAGCCACGGCGTCACCATCAATGAAGAGAAAGTGGTCTCCATGTACCTCCACTCCATGTCGGTGAAGTACATCCAGATCCCTCTCTCTATAGAGACGATGCTGAACCTGTCCACCCTCACCATTGAGGATGTGACCAGCAGTCTATGGGCGGTGGACGAGTGCATGGAGTAGGCCACAGTGACGGCGGGTAGCGGCAAGCTATTGCTGATGGAGGAGTGGGCGGCCCGGATAAAGGAGAAGAAGTCCGGTCAAGGCTCCTCCAAGGGCGGCGGCAACGGCAAGCGCCGCGGCAAGGCTTCTTCAGAGAAGAAGAAGAAGAAGGTCGACTAGGAGGATAGGCCACTAGGCAAAGGAGTGCCCAAACCGCAAGCAAGAGAAGAAGGCCGAGGCACATCTGGCGCAGGCTGATGATGATGATGAGGCCACTCTCCTAATGGCATTGTTCTGTGCACTGCACGACGTTGAAGCAGAGGAGAAAGCAAAGGTGGCGGCGATGGCAGAGCAGTCGACCTCGATGAGCCGGGCGTGGGCGAGCAGTCTCCACCGGCAGTGGCACTCAGCTCCACCACAGTCCCTTGCTTTGGCTGGACAGGGGACACCTCAGCTCGAGTTCACTTCCCCGCCCACTAACATCAACGAGTATGTGGACGCTTTCCACGATGGCGAGGAGGTGCTTTCCACCGGGTGGACAACTTCGTTAGCGACGGGGGAGCACCTAGGTTGGCCACTCGCATCCTCAATGATCTAGAGCTGCTTCTCATCAGCGCAAAGGAGCTACCCACATTTGCGGTGGCTGAGAGCGACGCAAATTGGCGGCGAGTGATGCTGGAGGAGATGAAGGCGATCGAGGACAATGGGACATGGGAGCTGGTTGATCTGTCGGTTGACTGCTGGCCGATTAGGCTCAAATGGGTCTACAAGGTGAAGCAGGATGAGCGCGGTGCCATCATCAAGTACAAGGCACGGCCCGTTGACCACGGCTTCATCCAACACGAGGGCATCGACTTCGAGGTCTTTTGTTAGAGGCACATGCATGCGGTGGAAGACTGGGAAGCATGCAGGAAAGAGTGTTAGAGGCACAGGCATGCGGTGGAAGACTGTGCGGCAAGCAGGAAGGAGTTAGGTGTTGCCTATTCTTAGGATCTAGACTAAGTTTGAGTGGCTGAGTTTGAGTTGTTAGGGAGATAAATATATGTAATCTGCGGTGGAATGAATCAAGAAAGAATTGGAAGGAAGAGCCTTCTCTCTTGCTTGGCCATGGGAAAGGCCCCTGGCCAGCCCCCTCTTCCTCACAACCATAGCCACCATAACATCTGGTATCAGAGATGCTAGGTTTCGATGAGGGTGACAAGCAGTCGACCGTGCCACTGACGTCGCCGCTGGATCCCATTGCCAAGGCAGTGGTCGAATTCTCCCAGCAGGTGGCGTCTCTCTGGGCATGCCTAGAGGCCCTAGAATCTCGATCGCCGGCGACCACCACCACCATGCCGCCGGTGTTCCCCTGTGGCTTGCTAGGCTATGGGACGACAGCCGTCTCTATGCCAGATTGCGTTGTAGGTCTGTCCCAACTTAGATTGCCTACTTCATGTCGATCCTTCATGCGGCATGGACAGCGCACCATCTTCAAGCGGTGGCACCGTTTCATCCCTATAGATTGGCTAGCTGCTGCAGCAGCAGCCTTGCAGCAAACAGAGAAGATGAAGGAGATTGCGCGGAAGAGTGCCCACCAGGTGTTGGCAGCGCGGTCTCCAAGTGCGTCGGTAGGTGTGGGAGATGCGTGATCTGCAGCTGATTCAGCCCTGCACCCCTTCGTAGCTCCCCCAAGTTGCGCTTCACCATGTAGAGGACCTCAATCTCATCCACTACATCAGGGATCTTGGGCATGTGGTTTCCCTTGTGGGCGGTGTGCATGTTGTTTCCCCCTATGGGCGGCGGGCATGCTGTTTCCCTTGCGAATGGCAAACTCAGAGTCTACATTGGCGGTTGGGGAGGCGCACCCCTCCTCGTCGTTCTCCATCGGAGGCCCTTCTCTCTTCTCTGTGTGGTGTGGACTATGCCATGGGATCTAGGTGGCTGTATGTGTGCAGCTATTTCATTTGGATGGTGTCCACCTTCAATTGAAGATGCCAGAAAAATAAAGAGAGTCCACATCTATTTTCGGTTGATAATAATAAAATGAGCCGAGATGTAAAAGGCTCAATTTTAGGTGTTAGGTTTATGTCGAGTCTTGCATTATCGTTATAAGTTGGTTAGGTTGTAGCTCGAGGATGAGCTGCTTGTCCATGTAGTGTTAGAGGCACAGGCATGCGGTGGAAGACTGGACAGCATGCAGGAAGGAGTTAGGTGTTGCCTATTCTTAGGATCTAGACTGAGTTTGAGTGGTTAGGGAGATAAATATATGTAATCTGCGGTGGAATGAATCAATCAAGAATTGGAAGGAAGAGCCTTCTCTCTTGCTTGGCCGTGGGCAAGGCCCCCGACCGGCCTCCTCTCTTCCTCGCAACCATAGCCACCATAACATCTTTGCTCCGGTGCCGCGCATGGAGTCCATCCGCCTGCTGCTGGCCATGGTAGCGGTAAAGGATTGGCGCGTCCACCACCTCGATGTCAAGTCAACGTTCCTCAATGGCAAGCTCGTGGAGACGGTCTTTGTCAAGCAAGCTCTGGGCTTTGCCATCAAGGGGGCATAGCACAAGGTGCTCAGGCTACGCAAGGCGCTCTATGGGCTCAGGCAGGCCCTACGGGCATGGAACGCCAAGCTTGATGCCACTCTGGGCGAGCTCGATTCACTCGCTGCGCCACAGAGCACACGCTCTACACACGGTGACAGGGGAAGGAGGAGCTCGTCGTCGGTGTGTACGTGGACGATTTGATCATCACCAGAGCGCGAGTAGAGGACATCGAAGGTTACAAGTGTGAGATGATGGCTCGTTTCAAGATGAGCGATCTCGGCGCGCTCTCCTACTACCTTGGCATCGAGGTGAGGCAGGGGAAGTAGAGTATCTCCCTAGGCCAGCACGCCTATGTGGAGAAACTGCTAGAGCACGGTGGCATGGCGAAGTGCAAGCCGTGCGCGACTCCAATGGAAGAGCGGCTGAAGCTGTCAAAGCATAGCATGGCGGCGAAGGTGGACGCGACACGCTACCGGAGCATCGTCGGTGGATTGCGCTACCTCACACATACTCGGCCGGACGTCGCGTTCGCGGTCGGGTACGTCAGCCGGTTCATGGAGGACCCACGAGAGGATCATTGGAT